CCAGGAATCAGATAGACACTGGGGTCTCCCACGCATGTCTTAGGGATGTTGTGAGAGAAATGGTCACAAGAAGGGCACTCTGTTTGGTTTGTTTAGTCCTTTAAAATATGGACAGGTATCAGAGGTTCTATGCTGTGGAGGAGTAATATATACAATTTCTAAATAAAAATAGTAATTACAGTTTTATTTCTGGTTAAAAAAATTCAAACAATTATCTAAAAATAAGGTGGATAGAGGTTACATAAACTGTGATATATTCACTTGATAGAATGATAGTCATTTAAAATGGAAATATGTCCAAGTGATAGCATATGGAGTAACATGGAAAACTGTAATATCTTGAGAAATGATTCTGAGTACATTTTAAGCAAAAAACAGGATAAAATTTGTTTAGTCTCAGAGCTTTCTCCAACTCAGGAGTGAAGCAGAGCCCTCCCAGTCCTGCCTGCCTCTTACAATAGCCAATAAAAAGCCTGTATTTAGGTGGTGGGATTGTGACATCATCAACAATCTAGCCAATCTCCCTGATGACTATTTGCATAGTTTATTCCTCCTAATCCAGCAGAACCCAGTTTCTTTTAAGGAGAGCATTGAGTGGAAGTGGAAATCTCCAAAAGAAAGGGAGGAAAATTACATTAACAAAGGAGTATTTGTAATGATGTTGGTAACAAAATACAGTGATCAAAATTATTATATCTAGTCTCTCTAGAGTGCTTTCACCTTCTAAGGAAAGCACTCTACTTAGTATGTTAAAATAGTTTTTTGAAAGCTACCTACCCATTTGATGTTTAAAATGTTTGTTTTTTTAACAATTTCTACAGAATAGGAAACAATTTTCTTGGATAATTTACAAGCCTCTTACTATTGGCAAAAAGAAAGCTTTTATTTCTCAGACTTAATTGCTTTTACAAAACAACAACAATAACAACTCCAAACCTACTCCATGCTTACCTGTTGATCTTGGCAACTTATCTTCTATTATTAAAACTTAGTCAGTTTATCAAGCTAAATGAACTGGCTGTTGACAAGGGAATAGGGTTCCACAACCTTGATCTCTATCTTCCTTGTTTATACAACTTACACGTTTAACAAATTTGATACTACCAGGAGTGCCCCCTTTCACTAGCCTAACTGGGATTTCTTTCACAAAAAGGTTTAGTGGGATAACTCTACCTTTCTCATGTGGCAGACCTGGGGCTTGGACAAGTTAATTATTTTTGTTTCATTCAAGTGTACTGAGCACATGCACTATGTGTCAAGCATTTTCGCGTGCATTATCTAGTTTAATCCTTACAATAACCATGTGAGGATATGTAATATTAGTCCCCATTTATAGATGAGAAAACCAAGGATGAGAAGTTGAGTGATTTGGTTGCCCAAGAACACACAGGGAATGACAGAACCCTAATTCTTAACATGGATTTCTACCACCAAGACCAGTGTTCTTCCTACTACACCATGTTATTTGTAATTAACTAGTGGTGCCAAAGCAGAATGGAAAATCCTCCTCATACATACCAAGTGTAATCTCTTGCATTGTAAATCTGCAAATTTTGGTCTTATCTTGAACATCAAAACATAGTATGTGCCTATAGTTTTCCAAAGAAGCCTAAAACAATAGAATGATCTGATCCTTTAAACAAAATTTCAACCAAAGTACTTTCAGATTCTATTTATCTTAGGTACTCGAGGATTTACTATGGCTAATGAAAATTTGCCATCAGCTTCAAACTCTATATACTTCCCACCCAAATTCCTTGTCAATAGAGTATTTGTTCTATAATATGACACTCAGGGAAAGTCAATAGTGGGTGAAATACATTTAAATGAATTCCCAAGGATGAACCATTGGAGTGGAATGTGTGACGCTTTTGAAACTGGATGACAAGTCTGATTATAGGTATGGCCTTCATTCTGTGCCAGGCAATGTCTAAGTATTTACATATGTTACTCAGAACCCTCTAAGGAAGGTATTGTCAGTATTCCCACTTCCAAATAAGCAATCTTGGCCATAAAGAGGTTAGACAACTTGCCTCCAATTACATGGTCAGTGGAGAGAGCAGAGCCAGGATTTGTCCCTAAGCAATCTGGCCACAGAGTCTGCCTCTCCAAAATGGAATGTAAAGTATTACCTGATTTCATGAAACACACCACAGACATTTGATTGACCTGCATTATACCTTGCTAAATATGGCCACAAATAGGAAATTTGACCATCACGCTATGTATGTATGATAATATAAAAATCAAACTTAAGGCCAACTTCAGCCTAGTATAGAAATGAGGTATAAGTCAAAATTATAGTGTTCTCCACTTCCTTAAAGCTCACACTGACTCCCTCCACTTTTTCAGTTTAGAGGCAGGCCATGAACATGCGTTCACACGTGCTCACCATTTGCTGGCCATTGCTTGATACCCAAGACTTGCCTGGAGTCTGTGGGGCCCCTGTACTTCTCAGGGCCAGTCAGGCTGTAGATTCCTCTGCTTGACGTCTTGCAACCTGGGAATCTGCCCCCACTGGTTCTGTCTAGTTCTGCCTCATTCTTCAAGGCACTCTGCCTTTCCCTCACCATTGAAAATGCTAAAGGCTCCTATCCTGTGTTTCCACATTGTGCCTGATACTGTGTAGTGGATGTGGGTGGTGGTTCTACATTTTCAGCCCACCCTAAATTCATATCTTCTAAAAATGGAGCTGCCTTGTTTAGAAAGTAGCTGCTTGACAGAAGTAAACGCTTAACAATTTAGGCTCTTCTAGGATACACATCAAAATGAGTGGTTGGAATGGGAAAAAGACAGAACAGAGTCAGGAAACTCACAGACTAGTAGGACTGAAGTGAGGCTAGAATAGCACGATGGGTGTAAAAGGGATTGGTAAACCGTAAAATGCTGTAGAGCTCATCACCGTGACACAGACTCAATGGCTCCTTCACTACAGTCTAGAACGATGGTTCTCAAATGTTAGCTTGTGTCAGAATCGCCTGGAGCACTTGTTAAAACAGATTTCTGGGTCTGCTATTTCTGATTCTACAGGTCTGGCTGGTGTCTGATAATTTGCATTTCTATCAAGTTTCCAGGTGATGCAGATGTTGCTGGTCCCAGGACCATGCTTTGAGATCCACTGCTTTAGGCAGCTGGATGGGCAAAAACTCCTATCCACAATAAGCATACAGTAGGCACTCAGATGGGGTTGTTGTTATTATTAGGCCCCATATTTTGCTAATCCCAGTATTTGTTCTCTTCTGCCTCCAGATTACTCCGTGCACTTTGGCTGAGGTTTACGGGGGAAAAAGAGATTGCATTCTTTTCCTTCTCTTTCATATGTCTGAATCTCCTGCCATTTAATACCCTTTCTTATTTAAAAGCTGTTTCACAGTTTGCAAGGAACTTTCGCACACATTATTGTGTTCAAGTATATTACTTGGTCATTTCTGAGCATCAAGCTAAGATTCATATTGGAGTTACTTAAGGTGGGGGAGGAAGGGATGGGGCAGAAGAACACCTACCCCCTTTGCATTTGCAGCGCTGCATAGGTTTGTGTTTCAGACCAAGTTTCCTAGGAGGGATCGGGGTCTTCCTCATTGAAGGGATATATATAATATAAAGTGCAAAGTTAGCGCAAAAAAGCAGTGATGATAAAGCATCCCTACTGCGCCCCCTCCCCACCAAATAAAACGAGGGGGGGGAACCCCGAGAGAGCCTTTACTGGGAGGGTCCCTCCGGCATCTGCTGAGACCGGTCGGGGTGGCCCGCCGCCCCCGCCTCAACTCGGAAGCCGCTCTCCGCAGTGTAAACACGCAGCAGCAGAGCCCTCCAGACCTCTCCTGGGGGCTCGCACGGTGCAACCAACCCTAAAACGTGGCCGCGCGACGCCCCCTCGGCCCTCTAGGCTTCCCATTGGCCCATTGCCGTTGTCACTCCCTTCTTGCCTCGCCTTCCCCTTACGGGCGTGTTAGGTTGCGCTCGCCGCTGGCTGGGGCCGCGGCCGCGGCTTTGCAGCAGGCTGCGCGCCGGTGGGGAGCCGGGCGCAGGGAGCCGGGCGAGGGCGGGGAGCCAGGGGACCGAGCGCGCCGCGGACTCCGTGACCGGCCCATGCGGGGCTGGGGCCGGGGGCAGGGCCGGGGGCCGCAGCCGGCGCCAAGGGCGGCCGCGGAGGACCTGCCCGGCCGGCTGCCCCCTGCCCTGCCTCGCCCAAAGCCCGGCCAACCCGGAGGGATGCGCTGTGCCGCCCAGCTCCCCCGCTCTGCCCATGCCCTGAAGCAGAAAGTTCGGGGGCCTGGGACCGTCCTCCTCCTCCCGCTCCAATGACTGCCCAAGGACTCCTGCTGCCCGGCCTCGACTGTGCCCTGCCTCCGCTCCCCAGGTCGTAATGAACTATTCCAAGCTGTAACCAAGGCTCCCGCTGCTCTCTCTCCTTCCTTCCCCATCTTTAAAAAGATTTATTTTTTAATTCAAGAGATTGTCATCCGCCGACTCCTTTCCTCGTTAATCACTCAGACCCCGGGCCTCGTTTCTGAGTGTAAGGGGGTGCGGTCTCCTCCTTAGAAGGACAGATTCCCCTGGCCGACCCACATACACCATGAAGAGGTGCAAATCGGATGAGCTGCAGCAACAGCAAGGCGAGCAGGATGGAGCTGGGCTGGAAGATGCCGTTTGCCACCTGCCGGGCGCGGACCTCCGGCCTGGGGAGGCCACGGGTGCTAACTCGGCTAGCGGGCCAACTTCGGACACGGGCGCCGCCGTGGCGCCAAACCCGGGTCCCCGAAACAAGCCTCCGGATTTAAAGGTGAGCGCAGACCCTCCCCTGGCCAGCCCACCCGGTGACTTAGCTTTTCCCGCCCCACGCAGAAGTGCTTTCACAGGATACAAGTGATGGGGAAGCCAAGGCAAAGGTCAGAGAGGATGTTGGGCCCGAACCCTGGGCTGGACGTCAGGTACCATTTGTGCCTCTGTCGTTCAGCTCCATTTCAGGCCTCTGTTTATTCCTCTTTATTCAGCAGACATTCTAGTGACTCACCCATCTCTGAGACTGTTTGAACGATGTGTGTGAAGTGCTATTCCCAGACAAAGGGCTGGAGAAATCCGAGACGCTAACTAAAAAATTGACATCACTTTTCCTCCTGTAGGCTGGTAGGAGAAGAAAATGACAGCGTGGAAGGCCAAGCAGAGGACCATTAGTTTTCCTTTGCTGATTTAGTTTCCTCATTTTGGGACCTTCCTGGATGAAGCTCAGTTTGTCCATCTGTGCAAGGGGAGTGTGGGTTTCTTGCCGTTAGGTGGAGCCAGAGGTTAAGCTAGTGCTTGGAGATCCCTGCCTGCCTGCAGAGCCAACCCCCAGGGTGGAGAACTGACAGGTGGCCGATTGGTGCTCGGGCTGGTTTGGGGCCTCGGTTCAAGTTGCACACATGCTGAGCCGGCAGTTAGAAGGAGAAGCCCGAAAGAGCCTATCACATGCAGCTGGGAGTTGTTTATTTCCTGGCCTGAGGTTGCCGAGACTATTATCGAGCTGTATTGAATATGTCTCTATATTAATTAAAACAGCAGCTGGGATAAATAATGCACCTTTTGCTGGAGCTGCCACAGGGACTGCAGGCTCAGGCTTCTCAAGCTAGCTCACCACCGGCTTGAGCGACATGATGTCAGCCGGCGGAAGGAACTTAGACACCCTGGAAATTGATGCCTCGGAGAGATTTTCTCCAGAGGGGGTGCAAGGTCTTGCTAGGGGAGCAAAGGACTCTGTTATGTTGAATAAAGCCTGTATCCTATAGCAGCAGCCACTAAGGAGCTCATCAGAATAAGCCAATGACATTCCTCATTTGGCCTGAGCGTCTCAGAGTCAGGAAGTCAGAGCGCAGGTGAGTGTGCCCTTACCTGTGTGTTACCTGTTTGTGTTCCTTGGGGAGGGGTGAGAAGGGGGATAGTTAACTCTTTGTGTGTACTTTAAAAAATTGTAGTAGTTATTCGAATGCCACCTCTGGTTCTGCTGCTGCCCCTTTCAGAGGTTTGGGGCTAGCCTTTTGTCTAAAGATGAGCTCTGCTGGCTAGGCTGTAATAAGGAGCTTTGCCCCGCTGTCACCCCTGAGCCCACCCTGTGTGCACAGAAGGTGTGGGTCCTATTTTAAATGAGATGGTAAAGGGACAAGGATGTCCTTAATGCTGATGTGGGTAGGGGCTAGCCTTCTGCTGCAGACTTCAGCTTCATTCTGGGTCGATTCAGTTGAGTCTGGCCAGCAAACCCTGATTCCCTGACCAGATGGGACCCTCGCCCTGAGTCCATGAGGGGCAGCCTTGGAAACTCTTCACGCTCTAGCTTTTGTGAAAACTCTAGGAAACTGCCAGCTCCATTCATTTTCCTGGGTCTGTTGCCTTCATGAGGGAAGGTGGGCTGGTTGTGGTGTGGGGGCCGCAGTGTCCGTCTCTGTAGATAAAGCGGCTTAAAGAAGCCATTCCCTTCCACCCTATATCATACCTCTCGCTTTTTCTGGTGACACCTTCATTCTGGTTGCGGCAGATACAGCAACAACTCCACACTTGATATTAAATGCTGAACTTCCCTGAACCAGAATTAAGAGCAGGCGTGAGAAAAGGAGTCGTTCCCCCCACCCCCGAGAAAACATACCACCAAGGTCGAGCCCAGCTACGTTGACCCAGGATGGCAGCAAAATGGAGAAAACAGAGCTGCTGCCTGCTCAGTGGAAGCACAGGGAGACAGGCGGGGCCTTTTCCCCCATCTAGCTCTGTCAGCTTTCTCACATGTTTACAGGGTAGGGACTTCAGAACAAGACATGAACTCGGGGGCGATCGCAACTTGATTTGCTGTGTGATCACAGGCAAATCACTCAACTTTTCTGAGCCTTTTTCTGGGGGAAGGGACTAGGAATATTGAAGTATGTCCAAACTTGTTTTCTAATGCTGGAAAAGTTGTTTTCCAATGCTTGGCACAGTTTTCCAATGGTGGAAAAATGCAATCATTGGCTCTAGAACTGGGCAGAAACTGTCACCCCTGTTTTAGATTTGATGGTTGTGCCAGAAAGAAGCAAATTTAATTTTTAACACCTCCCCACCCCACACTGTGTTTGGCCTAGGGTGGACCAGCAGTTCTGGCTTGCTTTTGTTTTCATTTTAAACTTTAGAGATAGGAACTTTTGGTCCCTTAGTTCTGCTTTTATTTTCTTCTAACAGCTCTGGGCATTGTCATGGATTAAATGCTTTGGAGGAAATCATCTTGACAAAAGAACAAGAAAATAAGAGGCTTTGTCTGAAGCACCTCCATTGAGGTTGGTTGCTGGGAGAGGAGAGAATTTTAGTCTTTGCCAAAGAGATCTGAATGATGCCCTCACCGGTGGCAGCCAGAGGTGTCAGGAGCTCCTATGGTCTCTTTCCAAGGGTCCTTCCGTGTCATGGAGCACCTCACTATGCACTGTAAATTTCTGCTGCTGTAGCCTGGGGTCTGTGATTATGGGGTGGGGAGGGCCTGAAAATGCCCCATAGGAGGCTTATGAGCTACATTGGGGGCCTTCTCAGCTGCTCCTCACACTTGACGTGACCTTTTGAGGAGACCTCATTAGACGCTCCTGCAACAGAAGCCCAATAACCTAGAGTCACGTCCCCAGTCCCTCGTTAACCACTTGAGTTCATGTCTCGATTCATGTGTCCTCATTATCCAGTCCTTTGCTGCTGCTGGATTCCCTGCTACATGGGAGGGTATGCCGGGATTCTGGTCACAGCGAGTATGGCCCGACCAAAAGCACACTGGAATTCTCCAGCAAGAAAACCCAGCCGGCTCCAGTGAGAATGGGAGTGGGGAGTTGCTCAGGGGAAAACTGCAGAAAGGGACACGGAGCACGCATTCCTGTTAACAATGCAGCATGTTGTAGATGTTGCTGAGGCCTGAGATGAGTGGCTCAGCATAAGTTCAGCTGGCTCTGTCCTGATTTGTTTTAGAAGCCAGAAGGCTGGGGAAGAAACCCCTGACCTCACCACCTCTCTCCCCACTTCCACCCCTCCCCACCCACTTCTGGTGCAACTGGAGGAGTTGAGCCTTTCCTGAAAGGAAGGGTCTGGATGTGCTGGCCAGATGCCTTCCCCCGGACTTCCCCCGAGGCTCTCTTTCCCCTCACAAAAGCTCCTGCGAATGATTTCCCCAGGGATTTCTAAGCAGGATTCCTATTTTTCCTGCAAGAAAAAGGTGGGGGTGGGGGTGGAGCTCAGAATTCCACTATTCCAGTCCTGGTTTAATGTGCTTTTAACTCAAGACTCACTAGGGTTCTGGTTGGTGTTCTTCCATTCCCACCGTACGCCGGCTTAGGAAGATCAGGAAAAGCAATTAGGAGCCAAATAGCTGAAGGACAGTCACAACTGAAACCTACAGTATATGATTCTCCTTGCTGGCACACAGCCTTTACTGGTGAGCACAGGTGCTTCAGCCC